CTTCAGTGTTTGATCATGCTTTACTGCCATTTTTTGTAATAAGAAACCCTGCAGTAGACTTACTCCCCTCATCCAGTGAATAGGGCCATGTGCCCGAAAGACTTCGGCCTACTTGGAACCATTCAGATTGCCTTATCCTCAAAAGGGAGTGACTGATAGTTCAGTATTGATAGTCTTAAAATAGGTTGCGGTGTGGTGGAAACAGAGTTTTAAAGGAAGAAAATGGTTTGTGTTTCACATATTCTTTGGGTGTTTGGGACAGATTGTACCATCAACACTGAAACGACAACCAAGAGCAGAAGCAGTTCGGCCTCGACCAACTTTACCAAGATCAGAAGGCTCAAGGCCAGCAGAAGACAGGGCTGCCTACAGGCGTGCTCCTGGCACTGGATCAGCTGGCCCCGATAAGAAGGCTGATGTTGGAGCAGGCACTGGTGATGTGGAATTCGTAAGTTCTTGGAGTAATTAAGTCATCACTGACATTTCATTTCTAAATTTTGGCTTTATTGTGCCATTATTGAAAGTTTAAAACTTCTCTCTACTGTTGCAATCTGTGCATTGCCAGTACATAATAATTAATGAAGTTTCAAGTATGAATTTTTGGCTTCATTATGCAGTTACTGAATGAGGCTATTCTTGCTATGATATCTACTGCATTGCCAGTAAAATTTTAGATGTATTGGAGCTGGTGTCCTTTGTAAAACTCAGAACATTTGGTGGAGGTTTATTTGCAGTTTGGTTTTTGTTTCAGCGTGGTGGATTTGGACGTGGAAGAGGAGTCCCACAGTAGATCAGATTCCCTGTAAAATGTATACTTTTATAAATTAAACACAAACATATTGACTGGAGAAATGTTAATTTTGCAATTATTAGTTCCTGTACAAATTTCTATATAGCACAGGCTTGTATGTTATTTATGAGATAATCCTGGTACCCATTGGATAGGAGGTTAAGTGGACCACAGAGCAGGTCTGGACAACTTGGAGAAGAGAAAATTGTAGATTCTACAGGGACTTGAATTCCGACACCTCAGTCATCCAACGTGTAGCCAGTCACTATCCCAGCTCCCATCCAGATTAGTATCAGTACTATATCGTATGAGCTACTATCAGTTTCCAGCATTGTTAAGCAAACCACAAACACCTGATAATCGGAGGAAATGTGATCTTCAGATCAGATACACAATTGAAAAGACTGCTAATTTCAAAGGGATCTGGCAGTGTATTACACTTATTGCTAGCCTCCTGGACTTAATCCTGACCTGACCGAAGAATAGATGAATGGTACATTTCAATCAATTTCTCCATGTAGCTTTGATACAATCATTGTTACAGCAGAGGAAAATTTGTCGTCTGTTAGCAACTTAATGAGTATGTTGCACTTGTATCTGATATTTTGGTAGTACTACATTATTTGTCAAATGGCAAATCATGAACAGTATCAGTTAACAAACCATGGCAAAGTATAATTAGAATGATCAAGTCAAGGATGAGATGGGCATGGCATGTAACATGAATAGGGGAGAAGAGGAATGCATGTGGGATATTGGTGGGAAAGCCTGAAGGAAAGAGACCACTGGGAAGATTAAGGCATAGGTGGGTGGACAACATTAAAATGGATTTTAGAGAGAGGATGGTATGGGTTAGATTTATGAATATTTTGAAACGCAAATGTGTATGTATGTAGATTGATCTGACTCAGAAAAGGGACCAGTGGAGGGCTCATGTGAACACGGTAATGAACCTTCGGGTTCCATAAAATGCTTAGAAATTCTTGAGTAGCTGCCATGCCCGTGGCTATTCAGCTAATATGAAATATTGCTTGACAAACAGTTATAAGGTCAGTGGTATAGTGAAACCAGGAGCATATTCCAATAAATTAACTACATCAGCACAGGATGATATAGAACACTTAACGAACAAGGATGCAATTATCTTTTGGGGAGGTACTAATGATGTTGGCAAAAATAATTCACAAGATGGATTAAGACACATAGTAGAATTTGTGAAAACCAATTGCCATACGAACATTGTGCTGGTGACTGTTCCCCATCGATACGACCTAAGTGATTGGTCGTGTGTGAATAATGAAGTAAAAAGCTTTAACAGAAAATTATTGAAACTTATGAAGCCCTTCCAGCATGTAAGGGTTATAACAGTAGATCTCAAAAGGGAGTATTTTACTAGACATGGACTGCACATGAACAAAGTGGGAAAAGAAATAACATCGTTAAAGATAGCTAAGGCTGTTAGTACAATGCTTCATAAACAAACAAGAGAATCAATCAGACTGCACTGGAAAACAGAAGGCGAGGACAGGACAAGTCATACTACAAGTGGAGATGACATAATTCTGCAAGAGGATCCAAAAGTTGCTGCAACAGAATATGGGGAAGGAATATCTCATGCTACCGACCAAGGGGCCCTGATGGAAGAACGAGATGGTACAGCGATCATTACTGCTCACGGGGAGGCTACAGATGTCCAAGGAAACGAAGCAGTGAAAAATTCAGCAGACTCACTCTCTAACGGCGGGGAGCGTCAGGAAGTTCGTACGTCAACCAGAACGAGGAAGCCCCCACTAAAGCTAAGTAAAGATTTTTTATAGATAAGCATAGCGCTGGTATACTTAGGAATAACAAAAATAATAAATACAATACTAATATTCAAATATTTCATCAAAACGTGCAAAGTCTAAAAAACAAAAAACTAAATATCGATGTGTTACTAACTGATAAAACACTAGAGTTAGATATACTATGCATCACTGAACATTGGTTAGATGAAAAGGAAATAGATTATTATAATTTTGTAAACTACTCCCTGGTTTCAAAATTTTGCAGGAAAAATAAACGACATGGAGGCTCATGCATCTATGTCAAAGAAAATCTAGAAGCAAAACCTTGTAAATTGTTTGAACACTATACACGAGAAGAACATTTTGAGACTAGTATAATTGAACTCACTCAATCCAATACAGTTATTATGTGTGTATACAGAACTCCTAACAGTAACATCAATATATTTATTGAAACTATGGATATAATAATAAATGAGTTACTAAATAAAGATAAGAAAATTATTATGGTAGGTGACTTCAATATAGATTTCTTAGGAAACAGGGTAAACTTACAACTACAGACAATGATAAATTCATACGGCTTGGAAGCAATAGTGGATGTTCCAACGAGAATCAGTTCCAGAAGTCAAACGGCCATAGATCAAATAATATTAAACAAGGGTTTATGGGAATATAAATTTGAGGTTATTGAAACAGGATTTTCTGACCATAGCGCGCAGATATTACAAGTACAGATGCAGCAAGAGAATAAGAATCAAAAAAGGCAAGCCAGAGCAGAGAGAGAATATAGAATGGTCAGAACTTATAGTGAAGAAAATGTTCAATATCTAAATTATCTACTAGACAAAGAGACTTGGGAGCTTGTTTTTAAACAAAAATCAGCGAACAATGCATATAATGAATTTCTAGATACTTTTCAGTATTATTATGAAATAGCAATACCAAAAAAATGGGTAAAAAGTAAACAGCATGAAAACAAATGGATTACCTCAGGTATAAGGGTATCAGGAAATAGACTTCGATTTCTTAATAGGCTAATGAAAGAAGGGAATATATCAGAAGAATTTAAAAAATACTATGGTCAGTACAAGAAAATTTATAACAAAGTGATCAGTGAAGCAAAAAAATTATCTAATAACATACAAATAAGAACTTCCGGAAATAAACCAAAGGCTATGTGGGACCTAATAAAGGAGGAGCTAGGCAGTCGGAAAAAAAATAAAAATATTGAAATAAACACTGAAGGAGGAAATACACAGGATCCAAAAATTATAGCAAATGTTTTCAATGAATATTATACTAGCATTGCACACAAAATCTTAAACGACAAATCATTATATACAAACAAAGAAGCTAATGACAATGCAGTAAAGTATAACAACAACAGTATGTTCTTAATCCCAACTACTGAAGAGGAAGTGGTTGGCATAATCAAAAGACTTGGTAACAAAAAATCAACAGGTATAGATGACATCCCAGAGTATATCATCAAAAAATGTTATCCCAAGATAATATCTGCCTTAACATATACAATAAATCAGTCACTCTCAACCGGATACTTCCCTGACCAGCTAAAAATGGCAAAAGTGAAACCCTTGTATAAGAAAGGAAGCGAAACGGATGTTGCGAATTATAGACCAGTATCACTAATTTCTGTTTTTTCAAAAATAATTGAAAAAATTATGCATAAAAGACTTTTATCCTTTTTAAATAACCACAGTTTAATTAGTAACAAACAGCATGGGTTTTGCAAAGGAAAAACAACAAAAACAGCAATTGCAGAGTTCATAGAAGGGGTCTATAAATCGCTAGATGAGAAAGAAGTAAGTATAGGGTTATTTCTGGATCTGTCAAAAGCGTTTGACCTAGTTAATCATGACATATTGCTAAGAAAGATGACAAGAATGGGAATACGAGGGGTTGCACTAAAATGGTTTCAAACATATCTAGAAAGAAGAGAACAGAAAGTGGAAATCACATATAGATGTAGAGAAGCGAATGTAAGCATTAACTATCTATCTCAGAGTAGACCCGTAAGACATGGAGTCCCACAAGGTTCTGTTCTTGGACCAATTTTATTTTTGCTATATATTAATGATCTAGAAGCAGGTATTGAACAAGGAAAACTAACGTTTTTTGCCGATGATATAAGTATTTTTATATCAGGAAATAGTGTTAATGTTGTCCAAAGGAAAATAAACGCATTAATAAATAAACTCACAGAATGGTTTGAAAGTAACAGATTAATTATTAATAAAGAAAAAACGATAGCAATATCCTTTCACCAACCACAAAAAATACAGCCAGAATGCCCACCAATAAAACTATATGATAAAGTCATCAATTATACAGAACATACCAAATTTTTGGGAATGTCGTTAGACAAAAAATTAAGCTGGTCCACACATACTCAAACACTAGCAAGTAAGTTATGTAAAATATGTTTTGGCTTGCGAATAGTCAAAAAAGTATCAGGATTAGAGACTGTTCTTGCTTTATACTATGCGTATTTTCAATCCCTGCTATCATATGGATTGATATTCTGGGGCAATTCAGCGAATGCAAAATTGATCTTTAAGATACAAAAGAGAGCTATTAGAACTATAATGCAAATACAAAAAACAACCAGCTGCAAACAATATTTTAAATTGTTACATATATTACCTCTACCAAGTCTGTATATATATGAAATATTAGTTTACATGAAATCCAACTTGAATGTTTTCATCACTAATTCAGCAGTACACTCACACAATACAAGAAAAAAAGACAACTTATTCATAGTTCCATGTAGGACGAGTCTGTGTAAAAACAACTTCAATAATATTGGACTTCGTCTTTTAAACCACTTGCCGCAATATATAAAGGACATACCAGCACTATACAAATTTAAAAAGACTTTGAAAACATTTCTACTTGAACATTGTTTTTATAGTATAGATGAGTTCTTCTTGTTTGGGGATAAATCCTAGTTAACATCAATATTACCAGATAATTCAAGAATAAGTGACTTGTTGAGCGTATACCAGCATGCTATGAATGTATACTGCGCAGTTCTCTTCTGCTTAAAGGAATCAAGACACCAGGTTGGATGTGATAGAAAGGACATCATGAGATGGAGGGACGTCTACGTAGGCCGCTCAGAGAGAGATCGAGAATACCAGGCCATCAAGAAGGGCATCAATCTGCTGAGAACATTACATTAGCTATCAATATCATTATTCTAAGGCCACGCCATAGCTTAAGCGATTAGTCGCTGGCTTCCCACCACTG